GCTGGACGTCTTGCAGGGCCAGAATGAGGATTAAGGGGCACCTATAACAATGCCAGTTCCACAGGTCGAAGCAGTAGAGTGTGTGCATATGGCATGAGGTGTTCCTGCAAGTAAACTTGAGGACTTTATATACTAATAGTAACACCTTGAACTGGTAGCAGTGCTGTTGTTTTTACATGGAGTTCAGTTATTCAATACACACACACACACCTTCTGCCTGTACTTGGACACCTATTCTCAGCTACAAAGTGTGCAGTTATACTGGGCCTGCTTGGATTATCTTCTTTCCTTGATCTGCTATTCTATGTGTGATGAAAAGTAAGAGCATATACTGCCTAATCACATGATTGCTTCCTAGATTTTACCTGAAATGACAGCTTACAAGATCCGGGCCTTCCTGCATTGGATTTAATGAATGTGTTTTCTTTTATGAACATTATGTTCATGTACCGATTGTCCCCACTTCAGCGACGTGGGAAGGGAATGAACATTCCTGTTCGCTACTACAAGTCAGGGAGCAGAGCCAGAAAAAGTTGTAATCTTACCTGGCTGGTTGTCATTTTATGAATGTCAGATACTTCTGTAAAGTTTGCTTTTGCCAACTATGCATAAATGGCAGCTAGTTTTTTGCAGCATACAGTTAATACGTAATTTTGAACCAAAGAACCACAGTATATTTCCTTTACTATATCCTTTCTGAGACAGTACATTTTGGTCGGGGGTATAATTTTCACAAGGGATGCATGAATTCTGAAGTCACATGGAAACATGGTGTCACATGAACAACCAAATATGCTCAGCCCTGAGTTTCTCATGATGTTGCCCTGCTTATGTCCATGTGTTCCTGCAGATGTTTTTGTGATCAGTACATTTCATCAACACCTTTTCTGAAAAGTGGATTCCGGTAGAGTGTCATTGGCAGTGCCAGTGTAATTGACAAAGGCATTGTCTGTTCACAACTATTAATAGGGCAGGTTTTATAAGTAACATCGCTCAGTATGTCTTCTAATGTAGATCTGCTTCCAATGTCTCTGTTAGGACGCTGTGTCAGCATTACTGGAAAGGACATCAGCAGAGCTGCAGGCAGTAGAACAAGAGTTGGCAGAGGAGGAAGATGAAGATGAGGAGGAGGAAGAGGAGGAGGAGGAAGAAGAAGAAGAAGAAAAGGGTGTACAGGAGCCACAACATGTTGAAGAAGACTGGTAGATTGATTTAAAAAATAATAATAATAATAATGTTGTTATTTATAAAGCAACATCAAAAACAAGGCTGATCGCTGAAAGAAACTTCTGCTCACCATCTGCTCCTCGTGCATGTAAAATAAACTTCTTACCCTTTTAGACCCCTTGATGGAGAACTGCACGTTTCGCTTGCTGTTTTCCCTATACCAGTTTCCCCAGTGCTGAAGAGAGAAGCTGTTTTTATTTGTTTGTTTTAAATTTAAGTAGCATTTTGTGTCTTGAGTGGGAAGTGGAACAGGGATTATGAATGGCATATCCGCCACACACGCTTCCACCATTGAGTCTGCACACAATTAAGATTTCCAGGAGAACCCCACCCCTTGAAATCCCAACCCCCATTTCCCCTGCCAGCCCTGGCACCACACTGTCTGCATATGAGAGGGGAAGCCTGGTGGACATGCATTGGCTCTCCCCATGAGTTTGTGGGTGGACAGCGATGCAGCCAGAAGGCAAAGGCCTGCTCTCTCTCTCTCTCTCTCTCTCCTTAATAGCATAGAAGCTAATGACTTAAGGGACTACAGCCCACTCCCCATGCGTAAGAACCTGTGAGACCTGTTGGATCAGACCAAAGGTCCATTTGGTCCAACATCCTGTTTCCCAGACAGATGCCTCCAAGAAGCCTATAAGCAGGTTGTGAAGGCACTAGCTCCTCCCTTTTGTTTCATGCTATTTAGTGACATAAAACAATGAAGATGGGTATTATCTCTTCTTTGAAGCCAGCCTTGCATTGTCCACAATAAATGTCGAGTTTGGGTGATTCATCTTTCAGTAGAGATGTTATTAAATGTGGCTTAATTGCCTTGTGTTAAGATCTCACGTAAAAAAAAATTAATGCAGGTAGAGTGCCCCCCCTTCATGTTAATATAATCTTGATATCTGTAGAGAATGTGAAAAGAATTAGTCTGTATTTGCTAGTTCTACATTTGCTGGTTAATAATCATGAGAAAGGTATCTTGCATCTCTCCATTAGAACCATCTGTGGATGTCAAACGTACTGCGCTTTTGTCAGAATGTTCTAAGGGAACCGATTTGCAACAGACCTTTCTGTTTTTCTTGGAGCGGATGACTAATATAATGCATTCACATGTCGGATCATGAAAGCGTTGTACTGAAATTCTAATCTACTTCTGGCTGAGATAATGTGTCGATAATAATATATCTTTTGTACAGGGTTCAGATCCCAGGCATGCCAGTATTTTTTCTTTTTCTTTCCTCTTTGCGGGCCTTGTCAGTTTTCAAGGGTAAACTTGGGTTACTTTGTTCTCACAGGCTAGGAATGCTGGCAGAGGCATCCAGTGAGATTGTGACAGAAGAAGAGGGCAATGTTAAAGGGGCAGAGGGAAGCAGATACTCAGATGACAACAGATTCTGCCTTAAACTGGTAGAGGAAGGTGAAACCAAGCACAGGGAAGACAGAAAACATGCACACGCGTGTCACAATGAGCAAGCAACGGCACCACCCATACTGGTGAATATTTTAGATTGTTTCTCTAATGCACCACAAAGAAGACACTGACATCCTGTGGCTGTGTTTGGTCAAGCAAGGTGGTGTGTTTAAAGGCAACAGTGTTTGTCATAAGGAATCTGTTTATTGTTTTCAGCCCTATGTTAATCAATGAAGGCCTGGTTTGCATGTAACATTAAACCGTAATTCAAAACAAACCATAGTTTATGAGCACATAGCTCCACTGGAAAACAAGCACAAGCTGGAGTCTGGCTAACTGTGGTGCCTGGACCCCGTCATGTGGTTTGTTTCCTTCCAAACAACGCACAATCAAAAGCCAAGGTTTGTTCTCATGGTTTGGGGCAGTGCACCAGGAGTGGGAGGGGTCTGCATGCAGTGAGCACCAGCACACCGCTTCTTCATGTTATATTTTTATGCACGAACCTGGCCAAAGTCAGCTCAGCGTTTAAACTCTCCATTGATTTCTAACAGGTTCTGTCCCCTCTGGCAAAGTGATCCTTTTTTTGTTTTGATATACAGCAAAGGGGAAAAGCAGAAAAGAGATTCTTAAGTCCTCAAGAAAAGCATTCAGCTTGCTAGTTAACATTTAATGTTTATTTGGGAGATTATTCATGTTTAATAATGAATGTATTAAATATTTAATAGGCTATTTTAATGTTTAAGCTATACTTGCATACACGGATGGTTTAATATTTTTGTTTTTGCATTTGTTATGAAGTTTTAATAATAAGGGCTCAGTGCTTCAGAGCAGTGCAGGAGAATTGTGTGTTGTGTGTTTAGGGTGCAAGCTTTAGTCAAAGAATTGGTGGAATTAAACAATGAAAAAGCACTTTTGATCAACTAAAAAGGTGTCTCCCAGTTAAGGAGGCAGCACCTATGGGGTGGGATCCAGACCTGATCTTCTGTGAGCAGAAGGACTCCTCCTATGGAGGTCAAATGGACCTAGTGGAGACTCCCACTGTGTGAAGTGGATTCTGCTGTAGGCAGAAGGAGTGGGAGAGTGATTTTCACCAATTCCCCTTTCCCCTGCAGTTCTGAATGGTCCTCCAACCCTCTGGATTAGGGTTTTGTTTTGGTTTTGGTTTTTGCGAGGGGAGGGGGAGAGAGATTGGAAGGGAAGAGAGAATATCACCCCAAATCAGCTCTGCCTCTTCCGCTAGTTCCACTTTATGCAACTCAGGATCCGACCCACTAAAAACAATTACTTTAATTACAAAAATTATGGGTGGCAGGCAGCATCTTCAAAGAGGCACTCCTCTTCCTTTTGCATGAAGGGATGGCTTTGGAAGCATGTGAGTACAGTATCTGTACTTTGATAAAGCATGTTCTTGCTCTGATCTTGAACTGCAGCCTGGTTTTTATGAATGGCTCTGCCTGCTCTCCTTCCTCTTATTTTTTTATTATTTTACTTTCCATATAAACAAAGTGATCTCCAAGTACCAGATGATAGTTCCTTCTTAGCACCACAGCTGCTCCTTTGGAAAAACCAAACAGAAATAGAAGATACTGATAAGACCTCCTGGTTGCAATGTCTCAGAATATGTTCATTGACTAGAATCTGTTTGATACCCCTTACCACTGATGGTAGGAGGCTAAGTTTCCTACATTTTTTATCATTCTGCAAAAATAACATACACATTTAACAGAAAGGATTGGTCCACGTTCTTGTAGTACCCCACTGAGAATTTTAGCATAATTCACAACAGTAGCCAGTTCTGGTTACTTCCATCAGTTCATCTAAGACTTGGAATTTAAGTAAAGGGAGGAGTTGTTGTTTTAGAATAGGGAATATGTTTTTTCTCCAGTATTTGTTTCACCACCTCTAGAGAGGACAACAGCATTCCTGCAGTTAGCAAACGGTAGGCCTCGCTGTGAGTGTTAGTTTTAAACAGACAATATGACTTCATTTACTTAAAATGGTCTCCAGCTTTCATTCTCCTGCAAGGTTTTTGTTTCCATTAGTAAAATCAGAGACTTCTAACCTGAGGTCAACCTTTTGTCCCTTGTTTGAGCCTGAGTCACAAGCCTTTAATATCAAGTACAATATGCGTAGGGGAAATCATTGTTAATTAAGATTCACATAACATTCAGGCAGGTGAGTGTGTGATGCTTTGTGCAGTAAGATTCACACGTGTCCCACATTGAAATAGTACTTTCTGTCTATTATTGCTGAGTGGTGCATTGGATTCTTTGTCTTTATCGTAACTAATTTGTGCCAGAATGGGAGGGAAAGCAAGCTTTGTGGGGAGGTTTTGGTTTTAAGGATTGAAAACAATGCACAATATCCTCAACAGGTTGATAAGGAAACGAACACAGAAGACAGACGTGAGGGTGTGGCTGTACGACCCAAGGACAGAGCCGGCCTCAAGTCTCAGCAGCATCCCTTTGTCAGGAACAGCATGATAGTGCGCTCACAAACTTTCTCTCCAGGCGAGCGGAACCAGTACATCTGCAGGGTAAGAAAAAGAGTGTTCTCCACGAGGTCCCATTAACTAAAAGACTCATTTAACTTCTTTGGCAGTAGCACGCTACTGGCAATGAGCCATATACTGACAACCCCGCATCCATCTCTCAGCTGCTAAGCTATAGCAAGCTTGTCACTCTTGCCTGTGGACTTTAGAATTTGCTGCTTGCCATGAGCGAGCCTGGAGCTTGTTGCTGCTGTTGACATCCCCCTCACCCCACCCCACTGACATTAACACATTCACACTTTGCTATATAAACAGCACAGTGGTACCTCGGGTTACATACGCTTCAGGTTACAGACTCCGCTAACCCAGAAATAGTACCTCAGGTTAAGAACTATGCTTCAGGATGAGAACAGAAATTGTGCAGCAGCGGCACGGCAGAAGCGGGAGGCCCCATTAGCTAAAGTGGTGCTTCAGGTTAAGAACAGTTTCAGGTTAAGAACGGACCTCTGGAACAAATTAAGTACTTAACCCAAGGTACCACTGTACACACTTACTTAGGAGACAGGCTGCACCCAGGTATTTAAAGCACAAGGCTTCTGCCAAAGAATCATTGGCACTGTAGTTTACCCCTCACAGAGCTACAATTTCCAGCACCCTTAACTAACTACAGCTCCCAGGATGCTTTGGGGGAAGTCATGTGATTTAAATATACGAGGGTGCACACAGGCCTCAGCCTGAAGTCAGTAAGGCTTGCTTCCAAGTGTGTAGGATTGCACTATAATTCCATATGCCAGGAGTGGGGGGCCTTTTTCAGTCTGAGGTATGCGTGCTCTCCTGGGTAGTCCTCTGGTGTCTGTGTGCCAATGGTTGGTGGTGGTGGGAGGCCCAAAAAATGAATGCAGGCTAACATACCTAACTTCACATGTGTACTACTGGAGTGTGAACTGGTGGTGACTGATCTGGAAAAAGATATTGAGGCTGTAGCAGATGACTCAGTGAAAATTTCAACCCATTATTCAGCAGCTGTGAAAAAAGTGGATTCCATGCTAGGGACCATTAAGAAAGGGATTAGAAATATAACTGCCATTATCATAATGCCATTAAACAAAGCTACAGTGCAACCGCACTAGGAATACTCGTCCAGCATCATAGAGTTGGGAAAGGTGCAAATAAGGGCAACCAAAATGATTATAGGGCTGGAGCAACTCCCCTGTGATGGAAGGCTACAGCACCAGACTGAATGTTGGAATACTCATGGCAGACAAGAAGTACTCTTCACATGGCACAGATCAGCTAAGGAATTTAGCGCCACAGTATATGTTCATGGCCACCTGCATGGATGACTTTAAGACAAATTAGTGGAGGATAAGGCCATTGAAAGACGCTAGCCACAATGATTATGTGCTGCCTCCAGTATCAGAGGCAGTGTGGTAGGATCCAGCAGGGCTGCTGCTATGTCCTTAAGTTAGCGGACCAGTGGATGCAGTTCTTACCTCTGCAAAGCAGGCGACATTCCAACCACACAAAAGCAAAGGTTTCTACACCACAACCACCCCACATGCACACACCTGCCCGACTAGGCAGGCAAGCAAAAGGCATTATCACAACATAAGGACACTTCCCAGTCAGGCAAAAGCTTTTGAGGAGGGCCAAGATTGTGTGCGATGGAGATGAGGAAGGGCTTGGGAAGAGTCCTAGTGGCTGGACAGAGATGCCTAGATGGCTGCATTGGCCTCCCCTCAAGCCTAAGATAATCTTGTCTCTCTTTCCTGTGGTGACCTCTGCTAATGCAATTGTTTATATGCAACATGCTGCTTCTGTGAGATATCTAGGAGCATATAATTTTGAAATTAATATATGCAATGTGGAAATGGCACTTCCTCTGACGGTGCTGTTTCAGAAATACCTTTTCTGGAAGAAGCTGTACCGACACAGTTTCCATGGAGCTCCTTTAGTTCCAAAGCAACTGTTTACACATTATCATAGTAGTGCTTTCAGACAAACTGCTCATGTGAAAACTGAGACGGTAGAGTTACATGAGAGACTTGCAAACAATCAGTGACTGAATGTATGAATATTCAGTTCGGCTTCCATTACTCTGAAAATCACTCCTTATCCTCCCTTCCAGTTGCAGAGGGTTGAACAATTTCTGTCTGTTTCTGAAATGCTAAATATCTAAAAACTGGATGCTAAACAAAGCCTTGTTCTTCACACTTCATATAATACCATCTTTTTAGCTGTTCTTTAAATCTTTCCTAAATTGAACTGGGTCTTCATTTGGGATATGGAGGAAAGCTATTGTAGTGTATAAATCAAGACCCCGACATTTGAGGTGCTAGTAATTTTCCATCATGGGTACAACAATTTCAAAATGGCAGCCATCTTTGTACTGCGGCATTGTATGGTCGAATTGTGGTTAATTTTTTGTTCAAGCTGTCCCTCCCTCTGTCTGTGATGACTAACTGGACTGGCTTTTCTCGAATAAAACTCTGAAGGCTTGAGCCCCCTCAGTCTCAAATCCAAAGGAGGGCCTAGGAGAAAGGTGGCAATGTGGTTAAAGTAGCTACCGGCATAGCATGCAGCCATACCTAAGAAGTGGGCGCAAACACTTTCACACACAAAATGGTGAATCCTTGAGACACCCAATTGGAGGCCCAACGTGAATGAACAAGAGGTAGCAAAAGGCCTGTAAAACTCTACATTGCCTTGCCAAAAAGGGACACATGACATATATATGCTGATAAACACTTGATCTATCTTGGTTGCCTTTACACAATCCCACTAGCTATCTCATTCAGACTATTAGCCTTTACACACGTGTGTGTGTGTGTGTGTGTGTGTCCCAATCTTATGCCCTCCTTTAGAGGTTTCTCCCAGATTGAACATATATCTAGCACTTTGGGAACTAGGTCAAAAGTCTCTACTAAAAGAGTTTATTTTACCAAACTGGGAAATGCAGTTCATCTACCATGATAAATTCCTAACAAATCTATGTTGGCTGCTACTGATCGCACCATTTACCATTAGATAATTGCAGGTTGTTTTAATATATTTTTTACTATTTATTATCCATCTTTCTTTAAAAGTAATAATTCTGCAAATCGTATATTGGGAAACTGAGCTTTTGATTCTGTTTGTACCTCTCCATATGCATAAGTGACATTTAAGCACTAATGTATGGCATTATCATCCATGGTCGCTTAACAGCGTACTTCCTAGAGTAGGAAAACTAATGTCTCTTTGGGGAGAGAGAAACCTAGATCACAAAGCTATTTTTCAAATGCTAGCTACATCGGCGTATTTTAAGACTCAGAACTTGTTAATTATTGAAAATTCTGTGGTATAATTCTTGTAAATAATGTTGTTTAATATGCCTTCTAGAAGAACTGAAATGTATATCTTGCATGTAGTTTCTTTTCATTTAAAGTTTAATATGACATTTTTGTTTATACAATACAAAATCATTCCCTCGGCGTTACCCTGTCTTGGAATGCAGCCCTTTGAGGATATACAGCAAGAACAATGAGATTATTTGAAGGGGGTGGGGGTTAAAAGTGAGACAATCTGCAATTAGTTAACAAAACTGGAGTTACAGTTCAAAGGCATCCAGAAAGTTGTTTGTTGCTCTTGCACTGTGATATCATTCTACGTGGTGTTTCATGGAATAGCATCGGAAACAAAGACAGGATCCTTCTCAGAAGGATCTTTCAATATAAGACAGAAATGTGAAGAAACAAACAATTCTACCTTTTAAATTGGTTGTAGTCTTAGGTCTGAGGAAATACTCACTGCAGTCAACTGTAATAATACTAAATCATGGTTTAGCGTTCTATTAAATGCAAGCAGCTTTGAGTCTTGGGCTTACATATGCTCCCTTTCCCCTCCATGGGGAGAGAAGGATATTGGAAACTCCCATTTCTTGTTTGCAGGAAACCACAGTTGGCTGTTTTGTCCAAACGCAGCAAATTCCTGCCTTTGGGTTGCTACTAAATTAGAGCAGAAGCATTCAGTTACTGTTCCCAAGGGCGTGAGGAAGGAGTGCTTGAGCCTAAAGCTTGAACCTGTAGTGCTACACCAGTGTTCTGTATAAACAGTAGTTGATCAAGCAAAGGTCCCAGTTTGTTGCAGAGGGAAAAGTCCAACATTATGTGTGCCTATGTAAGCTTTTTAAAAAAATAATAATAAAATAAATCAGTTTTCAGTACAGAGCTTCTTAATCCATCATGCACTTTCCTGCTTAGAGCTCTGCTGCAATCTGTAGAACCTTAAAAGCAGAGTGAATGAAGCTTCCTCACATTAACCAATATAAAGAGTTTCTTGGTGATCCACTGACCAAACAAAGTTTCCTTTGAAACATTCATACGATTTTCTGCCTTAGACACTCAAGTTTTGAAACTTGAGGGCAGCAGAGCAGTTGATGATGGCTTCTATGTAAACATTGTTTAATGTAATGGAATCGTGGCACTTTTCCGGTTTAATGAATTATTGATAATCAAACTGTGGCTTTTTAGCAATTCTGCATTTATTACTAATAAGACTAATGGTGAGAGTGTAGGCGCCTCCATTAGTACATGCGGTAGTACTAATGGCAATTAGTACTCGGAGTTTAGTACTTGGCAATTTTAACACTCGGAGCTGTTCCATTTCAAACCCAATCACTTTATGTTATAACTCTCTTGTCTGTTCCTTGTTTTGGCAGTTGAATCGAAGTGATAGCGACAGCTCAACCTTGGCCAAAAAATCCCTTTTTGTGAGAAATGCCACCGAACGGCGGAGCTTGAGAGTTAAAAGGGTATGTGCTGTCTGACCATTTGCTGCTCACTTTTCCATTTCACTGCAAACACTTTGCTAGATTAAAGAGGTTCTTCCACAAACTGAAGTTGCTTGCTGTGGTTTATTCTCATTCCAGGAAGCCCTGGCTTCCCATTAATATTTGAATGAAGCCCAAAGGAAGTTGTGGCGCTGACCTTTTTTTTTAGCCCAGTTGTGCTTTAGTTGTGCTCAGATTGGGGAAACAGTGAATTGAGCTAGAGAACAACCTGAGTCAGAAAATCATGGCTGCTGCCAACAAGCTTTCAAGTGGTTGAGAAGAGGGCACCATTTGCTGTGGGGTGGTGCCTGGGGGAGTAGGGACTAAATTCCTATTTAATTATTTCTGGGTCAGCCACTTTTTGCCTACAACTTACCCTCCACCTAGTACCACTATGAGTAAAACTCCAGGCAATTGCATTTCAGTGCCTAGTAGAGTCGGTCGCCATCTTGGATTTGCCACCAGTGTTCTGCTCCCTGCTGAGCACTTGATGGGGCGATGGTCGCTGCCACAAAAACAAATTCCAGAGATGTGCTTCATGGTGTAGTACAAATTAAAAAGAGTGGGGGGGAGAGTTGAGCAAGGCAGTTGTTGGGGGTCTCATGAAATGGCACTTTTCCACAGACCTCCTCAACCTGCCCCTTTCCCTGCATCTACTGCTTTTCCCTTCAAGGTAGTAAATACTGTCTGGGAATCCCAGATGGAGGTGGAGGCTGCAGGTACAGTAGTGGTTGAAAAAGGAGTTAAGGGCCTTCCCTGTTGCAAAATTTGTTCCTAACATGTAATGGTCTTTGCCTGGAATCATAGAGTTGGAAGGGACCCTGAGGATCATCTAGTCCAACCCCCTGGAATGCCGGAATATGCAGCTGTCCCATATCAGGATCAGACCTGCATCCTTGCCATTATCAGCACCCTCTCTAACCAACTGAGGAAAATCTTCTTAATTTTCAGGACAATTGAAGGATAATGGAACTGTGGCATTTAGTCTGACCACAGCTTTGTGTGCGTAAATATGTACACAAAGTACATACATAGGTTTAATATTATTTATTGAACTTTGTGTTTTTTTAATGAAATGAAAACTAAAAATGACTTACAATATAACATAAAAATGAAAACCAATCTAAAGCTAAAGCAAAGTAAAAACTGAAAACACTGATATACAGGGAGGAAAGCTGTCTAATACAAAAAGATAAAAATAAACTTGGCATGCTTTATGTAGGTATGCTGGCATCACCTTGAGAAGTTTTCATTCCTGGTTTTAAATTCATTCTTTTGTTTTTTGGAATTCCTGAAAACTGCAGCCTGCCTGCCAGCCTAACATGCGAAGAGCAACGCAAGAGTGCCCTGTTCGCACCTCTCTGGATTTGGAGCTGGACCTCCAGGCTTCTCGCACCCGGCAGAGTCGCCTGAATGACGAACTGCAGATGCTGCGTGACCTGAAGCAGAAGCTGGAGGAGATGAAAGCGAGAGGAGAGACAGAGCTTCCTCCACGGGTGTTGGAGGATGAAAGGTTCCAGAAGCTGTTGAAACAAGCTGAAAAACAGGTAGAGACATCAAATTGCACATCTCTGAATGAAAGAGAAGCATGCACATGAAGGTACAATGGGATATAGCCAGGGCTTTTTTTCCTAAAAAAAATGTTTAGGGGTATTCTCATTTTGGCTGCTCCCCCTCCCCACAACCCCCGGACGGGGGACTCAAGGTGGAGGCGGCGCTGAGAAGATGGGAAGACTCCCAGCGACAATGGTGGCGGGGTCGGCTTGAGCGAGGAGGGGCGAGCGCTCGCCGGCTGGCTCTAGCCCAGCAAGAGGAGAAGGAGGAGCACGCAGCTGCCCCAGACTCTCCACCCCGGGCACCGGTGGGGAGAATGACGGCGCTCCAGTCTGCACTGCTACTGCGGAGACAGCTGGCATATCAATCTGTCCGTCGATGGTCGGGGCAACACAAAATATTTAGGGGTACATGTCCCCCTAGAAAAAAAGCACTGGATATAGCCAATGATGTTGCTTAGCTGATGGTAAGGCTTCCTCAATGAAATGGGAAGGGAAGCAATTCCCAGCAATTCCCCTGCGCCCCCGGTGCCTCTCCCTTAAATCTGCAAGTGGAAGTCGCTAATGGAAGAGGAACACTGGATGCAGTCCAATGGACTTAAGCATACCTAATTCTGTTAGGTGTGGGCTATTATCTCCCATACATAAGAAAAATGTTCCAGTTGGTATTTTGTCCCCTCACCCCCACCCTTCAACTTATTTTAAATACAGTGGTATCTTGGAAGTCGAACGGAATACATTCTGGAAGTCCATTTGACTTCCAAAATGTTCAGAAACCAAGGTGTGGCTTCCGATTAGCTGCAAGAAGCTCCTGCAGCCAATCAGAAGCCGCGTCGGACGTTCGGGTTCCAAATAACGTTCGCAAACTGAACACTTGTTTGCGGGTTTGCGGCGTTCGGGAGCAAAAACGTTTGACTTGCAAGGCGTTCGGGAACCAAGGTACAACTGTATCTAAGTTCTGAAGTTGATTTTTTTTCTTAATACTGAGTGCATTGTTATTATTTTTTGAAGAGCTAGAAATGAGAACCTATTCTGAAGTCTATAAAATTCATTTCTTACTGTTCAAGTCTATGTACTTCTATAGATCTTCAAAAGCTTGCTTGGGTCATCTTCTGCAGTTTTGCAATATTTACTCCAGAAGGCAAAGCTGTGCTTACTGTAGAAATGCGGTGTCCATTAAAATGCAAAAGTCAATAGGCACTTTAGGGCTTTTAGTGTACTAAAGTAAAAAGTTGAGACAGGCAGTAAGATACCAAATACTTTATTAACACAGCAGGGGGGCATTTAATAAAACTAATCAACATCACAGGAAGTAAATAAATGAAAGATGGTTTGGGGTGTTTGAGATATTAGACACTCTTAATTGCCACAAGGGTTTTCAAAACACTTGGCTGAAGAACATTGCCTGATTATAAAATCCAGACCATACCTGCTTTTTAGTTCATCCTAAGGACTGATTTTAAATGAGATACTGGGTGTGCAAAAACAGGCTTTGCGTGGCTTGGCATCTCATTTAAAAAGCTTTCCATCCATCTGCCAGCCTCTGCGACACAGAACTTGCATGCCAATAGAGCTGCCTTCTGGGCCATAAGCTTCAGATGCACCAGCACATGGATTAAAAGCCCTTTAAAGGACATGCCAGGAAGTGTGGAGTCTTTTTCATGCATCTTGTTTAAAAATTGGCCCCAAGTCATTTTAGCTGCGGTGCCAATATGTCTTATTTTGTAAAATGAACAATGCACAACTTCCAGCTGCAGTATGCACACCTCTCCTCTGCTTGCGAGTCCACCCTATGTCCCATGAGCATGTTGTGTTGAAGACATTTTGTGAGGTGCACTCTCTCTCTCTCTCTCTCTCTCTCTCTCTCTCTCTGGCTTCTTGAATCCTGTCATATTGTCATTTGGTACCTGTTAGCTGTAATTTTGTTCCCTCACCAGGCTGAACAATCAAAGGAGGAAAAAAAACAGGGGTTAAGTGCTGAAAAATTGATGAGGAAAGCGTCGAAGGATGTTTGCCGGTTGCGAGAACAAAGCCAGAAGGTTCCGCTACAGGTGCAGTCATTCAGGTAAAGAGACCCCTGATTCCTTGGAGCTGGAGAAAAATCTGCGACAGTTTCTCAGTTGCCCTTCCCATCTTATATATGCACCTTTCTAGAATTAGTTGATGGCATGGGATTAACTATTCAATAAATGCAATTCAGATATGCAATAAGATGTCTTCAGGGCATGCTTTGTGATGTGGTTTCTGAGCATCAGGAAGAAGGTGCAGTGATTGGAAGTGGAATCTGCAGCTCCGAGTGCTGGAGCTAAAGGCATTAATGGTTTCACCAGTAAATCCTCACCCCAGTTTCATCCGTTTACGAGCCAAATTACTTCAAATAATCCAGAGGAAACAGCCAACCAAATAGACATAGCTGTGTGATTCCCCGTGGCAGAATGCAAATACAGTGGAACCTCTACTCACGACCACAATCTGTTCCAGAGGCCCGTCCTTATGGCGAAATGGGCCGCTGGTGGAAGCGCCGTTGTGCGCAGGGACATTCGGTGGCAGCCCGCTTCTGCGCAGGTGCAGACGGCAGCAGCCGCTTCTGCACGTCCACAAATCGCGGCAAACCCAGTGTTTACTTCCGGGTTTGCCACGGTCGCAACTTGGAGCAGGATGTAAGTAGAGGTTCTACTGTAGAGGTGTAGTAGAACTGATTTTATTTTCCCCAACTCCAGCAAGAAAACAGATGTTTTTCTGTCCAGAGAGCATGCTTGCTGTTTTTCTACTGGCTGTAAAGTTCCCTCAGCTCATGTACCGTATTTTTCGCTCTATAAGATGCACCCTACTATAAGACGCACCTAGCTTTTAGAGGAGGAAAACAAGAAACAAGAAAGCAAGCAAAGCCTCTTGAGCGAAGCGGGAGGAGCACTCCGGCTGCGCTCAAAAGGTTTGCGTGGCTATCCCTGAAGCCAGAAGAGCAAGAGGGATAAGTGCGCACTGATCTCCAGCAGATAGAATTATTGGTTTGTGGCAGGAGACTCAGGTGGTCAACATGCATACCAAATGCATGGGGAACGACAGGCAGACAGACACAGACATTCAGTTGGCTAAAGAGAGATTTGTCCTGAGAACAAAACCTAAGTGGATTGACAGCCTGAATAAATACAGCAATGCAAAGTTAGATACCAGACTACCTTCCTTAGTAAGGCATGTAGCCCCAGACGAACAGAATACCATGATAGAGGGAGGGAAGTCAAAGATTCACCCAGGTGAACAGTAGTTAAGGAGGCCAGTGCAAAAGGTTGAGGGAGGGCTGAGGCCTCTGTAATTTGAGCCCTGCTCCAGTAGTACAGTTTAATTAATAATTTTTTAAAAAAAAATTATACCCCCCCCAATCTGACTGGGTTGCCCCAGCCATTCTGGGCGGCTTCCATCACATACAAAAACATAATAAAGCATCAAACATTAATAATAACAATCTGATCCAATATAAAAAGTCGCAGTAACTTTAAAATACAATGGTACCTCGGGTTACATACGCTTCAGGTTACAAACGCTTCAGGTTACAGACTCCGCTAACCCAGAAATAGTGCTTCAGGTTAAGAACTTTGCTTCAGGATGAGAACAGAAATCGTGCTCCGACGGCGTGGCAGCAACAGGAGGCCCCATTAGCTAAAGTGGTTCTTCAGGTTAAGAACAGTTTCAGGTTAACAACGGACCTCCGGAACGAATTAAATACTTAACCCGAGGTACCACTGTAATCAGTTTATTCCAAAGGATTGAATTATACAGAGATTTGCTTGGATGGGTGGAAAATTGTTACTCAGTTCTTACATTGCTTTTACTTTGCATGTTGGAGTGATTTTCTTTTTTCTAACCACTTAAAATGTATTTCCTCTTCCTTCTTTTTTTAAGGGAGAAGATTGCATACTTCACAAGAGCAAAGATCAGCATACCATCTCTGCCAGCTGATGATGTCTAACTATGCTTCTCTCCACAACCTGTTTTTCTACTCGTTCATCTTTTTTATTTTAAGATGACAGTTTTTTGTAGTATAGTCCCATGATTAAAAAAGCCTACTGTTTTACATCCAAGCCTAGATACTGTTTGTAAAAAAAAAAAAATACAGTACATTATGTGGTGGTATATATTATGTGCTGGTAGATTTTATATATGCATATACATATAAATATATATCTATATAAAGGCAAGAGAAAGCCTCCTCTCTCTTCCCCTGCCTAAATCTTCCACACCAGAAAACCAAAGTAGAATATTTCTGGTACATGATGCTAATTTTGTACAGTTTGTATGTATTACAGATACGCTACTTTTTTGTAAAGATGGATCAAGGAACAAAGGCTGTACCAAGTGTGTATACCCTGTTGAACTGCACTGTGTTGAGAAATATTGTGTTCAACAGGCGGTTTCGTTTCACTGTTTTTTTCACAAGAGCAGACTGTGAAGATGGCTGTTAGGCCATGCAATATTTTTGTACAAAGTGTGATTTTTTTTTGTAGCTAGCAGCAAACACGAGCCCTCTTCCAAAACAGCAAGACTGCCTCATGCAAACAGGTGCTGTTTATATTTGTGTCACCCACCTTGGAACTTTCAATGTTGAACCCAGTTCTTTTCCTTTCTGTCTTGGTATGAAGGAAGCCACATGGGATACTGAGTTGCAGGAGTATTATTTTGTGAATGTACTGGAGTTTGGGCTATATTTGGGTTTTTCCTAATGTTTTCTGCATCTATAACCTGGGAGAAGTAATATGGGGCAAGTCTGTAACCCTGAAATGTGTCTATAAACTGAAACTACCCAAAGGGCAGCTGTTTTCTGAAATGGGACTCAGGTTCACGCACAAAGTATTTAAACCTGAGCTGAAAGAAGATAAATTGAAATATAAAACTAACCCTTGAATATAAAATAGTTTGTTTAGTATTACAGCCAGTAGCCTGTAGGAAAAGTCAAGTTGATAAAGCCCAAACAGACCCATGCAATTTTCAAAGGAGTGGTTCTTAGGAAATTCATTGCTCTTAAGTACCGTGTGTGTGTGTGTGTGTGTGTGTGTGTGTTTCTTCTAAGAAAACTCATGATATGAAGCACTTAAAATGATGTGTTTAATTATGGCACAATAAGCATGATCAAGGTATCTATGGAATTGGAACCTTAACTTGTTTAAACAGGAATTTGTATTGATAAAAGGTAAAAGACGATATGAATGTGCTTGTCAGAATTCAAACTGGTAACAATCTGGTTACTTTTAAAAGAGGCATATATCTGCAGATGTGTCATGTGTATATTAGCACTACCAGTGATGGGCTCTGAATGTCACCGGGAAGCACATTGCTGATCAAGTCTGAGGTCGTCACAGTGGGGCTTGGCAAAGCTCTGTCTACCTTCAGCTTGGCGGCTGCTGTGATGAGCAGCCCAGAGGAGAGCACTTGAGAGAACAAGCAGCAGTGAGCTACTTTTGCTGAATCAGGCCTGAAATCCTATGCACACTTAGTAGAGTGCAAACTCCACGGAACTCAATAGGACTTTCGTGTAGGCATTTATAGGATCAAACTGTAAGCCTCATAACTATTGCTTACAAAAGATGGGCTTTCAGACACCATTTTGCAAGTTGGCTGAACTGTTTGGAAGCATTTTGATGAGCACAAATAAATGGCTGGTTATGTACATGAATCATAAGTGCACACCCTATATATGAAATCAAGCAAGGAAACAAAAGGGCTAGACTATTAGAACACTGACCATTTTGCAACATTATTATAAATTATGTCATATTTTATTTTTTCCAGAATGTAATTGTCTCATTGAAAGATTAGGGGAACATAACTAAAATATGTTTGTTGCCATCTTTGGAAATCCTGATGGGGGGAAAAAACTTGTGCCTTAATTTATTTTTGTAAATCTCCCCAAGTGTTCTCTTATTATGCAGAAGTCTGTGTAATTATTCAGATTCTTAAAATATTACTTCAAACCTGGAGGTAGTCAGTAAACTAACTGTGCCCCTTTTTCTTTACCTCTCTTTTTAGGCCTAATCTACATACACGCCATGTATTCTGATGAGGTCAATCTCTAAAAGCTAAAGTTTCAAATTGTTTAATATAGAAATGAAGTTTGACTGTTTCAGCTTCTCAGTTTGACAATATAAATGTTTGTAGAAATGATGTATAGAGCTGTATCTTGTGATTTATTTATTTTCAGTCTTATTTATGTACTGCTTAATATAGTTCAGTTCTGGCCATTTAAAATTTACGGGTTAAAAAAAAAAAGCTACTGTGAGAAATGTATACAGCTTTCTGGTTTCTTAGTGGAGAAGCTGTTCATACATACACAGAGAGAGAGAGAATTTCAGAAGGAACCAAAAAGGATTCTCTGATAAATCATGAATATTGGCAGAAATAATATTGTTGGTAGTTCTGCAAAATTTGCTCATTTATAAAATGAGAGCAATTGTCACTGCAATAATATATCTTCTGACTTCGTCAGAATACAGTAATATCAACTCATTTTTAGGAATAAATTTTGAACTGTTCTGAGTTTGTTGGTTTGTGTTTTGAACTCAGTTTATATACAGTAATGAAATAACATTGGTGAGACACTGATAAAAAAAAATACCAGCCACATTTCATGTTATACAGATACTGCTTTTATTGTAAGATTTACCCTTCATAGGATATAAGAAACATAATAATCCTCATGTTCCCATTATCAGTATGTTAGTACAGTTCTATATATCAAATTTTAAGTATTACAGGTACAAGGCAATATTATTTTTTTAGCCAACTGAACAAAGTATATAGCAAATCATTTATAGAATGAAAATCAAATTTCAACTTTTTGCCTTCTTGTTACATTTAAGTAAAAAAATGCTCAGGACTGAACTAAATATTTAATCAGGTTATATCACGAATGTCTTTCTGTGCTAATGTTGTCTGTAAACGTGCATATGTACATCACCTAGATTAACTTTCATCTCTGCACTTTCCATGTGTTTCAGTGATTTGGAAAAAAATACAGTTTTTTAACAAAGCTTTTGTGCTCATTTGTGTTCTTTTGTTTGGTTTTTTGTGTGTGTTTTTTTTACAAAAACAGCCCAGAAGTTTTGATTTTTGCATACAAAAGACTCCTTGGTGTTTTTATAAGACTTGGACCATGTAATATTGGTGGTAAAGTGATCAATATTATCAATAACAGTTTGAATTGTATTTTGATACTTATCAGCATACCCCCATGTAAGATGCATGGGCTGGCAGTAATATGTGACAATGTCTGCATGATTCTGTTCTGACAGCCACAACTGAAAAATGGGATGTTATATGAAGACAGTGACCTGACTCTAAAATCCAGAGTCATACTTAAGTCCTTTTTCTTAGGATATAATTGAACAATGTTTCTTCTTTTTATGGAGGCCAAAGAAATCAGTGCCATTTTGCAGAATGGGAAATTCTTTTCAGTCAGTATCATTTTTTTACTGTTCTTTTGAATGCTGGTAACGTTTAGGAATAGATTGGGCAAATAGGAACTGTTTAGTTTATAATCTTAAACTCCTGACAGTTTTTCCACGATTCCAGCAGAAACAGGAATTCATTATGTGACAAATAATTTGATGTTATGCAATATCTCAAGTTATGTGATAGGCAGCTAGTTTTGCAAATCGAATTATCATGGAAACATAGATACCCCAATAAACATAGAATCGCTTAAGTTTGGGGAATTTTCACTCAAAATCTGACCATTTTCGATCAGGCAGAAGCTTTTTCCTTTTAAAAGAAAAAGTTAAAGGAAGCATGCTTTTCTAAAGTACTTGTTTATCAACATCCCTCAGTCATCCTCAAGATATTAGTTTACCCATGACTGTATTGTCGATTTCAATGTTCTGATGATATCTTGAATTTCTGCCATGACCTAATGGATCGCAGAATTATGATGAATGAATCTCTGATGAAAGATGGGCAGAGAAACAGGAATCTACTAAAGTAACAAATAAACACTATACCCATCTGGTGGCAATCTTTTGAATAAGTGTCCTACCAAATTTCTGCAATATGGGTATACTAAGTAAATTGGAACAAGACAAACCTTGGAATCAGTCACAATGGCACTTGTGTTGTTGTTTTTTTGTCCCTCTGGTGTCCTTTCTTCAAGCAATTATCCATTCATCACAGATGCTAAAATTCTCTAAATTTTGACTTCTTCAGGCAAAGCTAAAGGAAAAATATCAACATTTTTTACATAATTCTTCTTACATAGTTCCTTCTTGGAATATTCACATGGTACTGTTGGCACCTTGCTTCAAATCATATAAAACCCAAAGCTATTCCAGCCTTGCAAGTTATTAAACACCCTAGCTATCATTTCCTATTAAATACTGTAAAGTTTTCATAAATTGCATAGTCGGAGTTGTAAAAGCTGTGGCGTTAATTTCTGAACTTGCTGCAGTTACATCTTTTGGAAGTTATGTTAATACTGGCTATAAACAGATGTTCATATTCTCACACTGAAATTCTACTTGGTTAGCTAAAGAACATGAAGCCATATTTCATATTTGCTGACATAGAAATACTTTGCACATAAAGAAACAGTGCCAAGCCATTGTTTCAAAGAAAGAAAGCCCATTCTCCACTGAAACTGAATAACGAACTATGGTTGTTGTTTTTTGGTTTCTATTCAAATAACAATAGTCAATCCCTTTCTAGAATAGCTTTTCAGTGTCTGGTGGCGTTAATAAATTAAGCAACGTAATACAAAACTACTTAATAAAAGTTAATTTAGATTGCATGGGACACGAATGAAGCAATCCCGTTCCTTCAAGCTGTAAACTAAAGACACTGCCCTCATGTAGTAAAATAAATGTAGAATTTATCAGATTTTAGGAAACATATTGTGATTATGCATGCTTAAAACTCAACTATTTACATAGAGAAGAACAGCATTGATTATTTACAAGAGCAACATTTAACACATCTCACAGGTTGTTTTCTGTTTGCTACTAACTTACATATATAGATATATAAAAATAGGTAGACACTAGAGCATTCAGATTAGGGAGTGAGGGGGACTTTGCATTTCCCATGTGTTAAGATGAGTCACTCGTTATTCCATAGATGCTATCACTGAAATCATTTTGACTATGGCAGACCAACACGGCTACCCATCTGCAACTGAAATCATTTAAACATTTTGCCAGTGTTGCAGGGCAATTTGTAACTCATATTAAAAGTCTTTTTGCATGAATTAGATTTGTTTCTTGCAGCAGAAACCTACAGGCAGGTTAGTTCCTTGTACTTTTTGACTTGTAGAAATTCAGTGGGCTATAGAAATAAATTACTAGCTTTAGTAGTATGAAGCTGCATAATAAGAGGTATCATATTACATTTTTTTCTGTCTTAACTTGAACTTGGGATGCTTTTTGTTTTTACATTTTAAACGAATCAGATAAAATCTACACAGTGGTGATTTTTTACACAGTCATTTTAATCTCATCCTGTTGGTGAAGTCAACATTCTCAGTTTTGTAATGAGGAGGGTAAAACACAGCTCTTGAAAGAAAAAGCGCAGGAAGAAAATTTAGACACCCAAGTGTAATGAATCTGCTAAGGAACAAAGAGTCCTTTGAATCTTAATTGGAACAAGGTTCTGGCTCGTGTGTTTTAAGTGTCTGAAAATGAAAGAAGAATCCTCCTTTCTGTCTCTCTCAAACTCTTAGGCTTTTGGGTCTGTTGTTACTTTCCAGGTACTGACAGTTATCTTGCTCTTCTGCCACTGTATAATGGACCGAGGATGACTGGGCATCAGCAGAACAGACAGTGCAATTTAGCATTGAGCCTCCTAAGATGAGACAGAATCCAGCAAACCAGCCTACAAACAGTGCTTCCCCAAAGTCCCACCTGGGAACGATGTCTGGAATATTCTCATCCCAGAATTCCTGCACAGTGGTGTGAGCAACCCAGGAGACTGGGACAATGGCTGTGACTCCTGATATCCAGAAGAGTATTCCTCCCAACAGCAGTAACCTCCTCTTGAGGTCCAGTTGTTGTTCACCAATCTTCAAGCAGTCCAGTCCGAAACCTGAGAGCAAGAGGCCTGAAAGTCCTAATCCATTAGATACAAACATCAGAATCCTAGAAATTTTGAGCTCTGGAGGTAAAGCCAAAAAAGAATCGAATTCCTTGCACTGCATTCCCCCTTCTTCTTGAACTACACAGGCTTGCCAGAGTCCCATTGTCCAGATCTCCAATTCATTCAATTCCAAGTTGAGATTTTTCCACTGAGGTAAATAGGTAGTGAGGCAGGATAACACCCACCCCAACAAACAAAATAAAATCCCAGCTAACTGCATCATGGTTCGGTACACTAAAGCCATTCTAAAGGCAGAAAACGCACGGCCGGAAAATCTTGGCCAACTCTATAAGACTTGCTACTTTATATGGCGGCTGCAGCTCTGATGATCTTTAGCTCTTTCATGCCCTGAATATAAACTTTTGCATATTAACCCTTTCCAAGCTCTGAAATGTGTTTTTGTTCTTCCTGAATATAATGTTTCTTGTAAAGGACGAAGGACTCTGCTTAACCATGAGTTAGGTTTTGTGATAAGGATTTGATCTGTTACCTTCCAATTTGCTTGGTAAAATTATATCCCAATGCCTGGTGATTACAAGTCTGAGGATGAACAAAGAACGCTCTATGACCCCTAACCTCAAAAAAACAACAGAAATCTTTGTGCTTCAATACGGATTAATTAGATTTTAAGTGGTGATAAAAAACCAGCTCTGTCTGCAACAGGACTTCATTGTAATAGCTAAATCTGAGATTTCAGGGTTGCAAATCAAGGCCTTGTAAAGAAAGGTATACTGTTTTCCTATAATCTGTATTATTAGACTTCCTCAATATATGTATATATACACCCAAAGGCTTTCCTTCATTCTTCTTTTCTTTCACCACCACAGAGAAGATTGCAAAAGATCTTTTTCATGTGCTTTATATAAAATTAAATTTAAATAGGCTTTGTTATATATCTGACCCTTTTAGAGCACAGTGAAGAAGCGGCGATACATAAAGTAGGCTACAGGATCATTGTAGCTACATTCCTGAAAGATCCATTGTCAATGACGGAACATTCCTCGTTTGTTTTAAAAAGTCAATTTTGGTTATCTTCTTTTGTTTAGCAGTAGAGCATACCTTGCTTATCCCATATATAAATTTTATTTCTAAAATATTTATATACTGCTGTATCATAAAAAAATATATATCAAAGACCTTTACAGCAATAAAACATAAAGCCATACAATAAACACAAAGAAAAAAGAAGTTAAAAGCAGACATCAATTAACTGTTGTGGTAGAATGTATTCCTAATTGCCAGCAAAGGCCTGGCAGAATAGTAACATTTCCAGCAGGTGTTTAAAATTTGTGACTATTTTGTGACCAGTTTCCATAGGCAAAGCCCATGATCCATAGCGTTGAATGCACAAGACAATCAACTTCTTGTGCTTCTCTGTGCATGGCACTTGTACAAGAACAAGAGTGTACACAAAGACTTAGATGTGCAAACTGGTTTGCACATGTGGAACAAATCACCCAGATACAGTTCTTTAAAAAGCTGCAAGCGCGCAATGAAAGCAGTTCCTCTGAATTTAGGGGATCTGTTTCCAATCCAGAGAATATTATTTGTATTATGTTGCTCAGTCTATCTGCTTCCAAATAGGGTCTAGAAAACATTTTGACCTAAGGCTATTGATTTATACCATACATTTAACTGTGCTACACAAGAATTCGCACAAAAGCAAATGGCATCAGAAGACTGCATTATAGCATTGTTATTTAATTCATACAAAAAGCTTTACAAATATTATTCAAGGTGCAAGGCTCTGATGGGGGGGGGCAGATACCACCAGGAAAAAAGCATTGAGTTCATCGATTTTTAGTCCCAAAGTCCCATGGGCATCAGAAGTTTCAAGTTCAGGGGAATGTTTGTCTAAACTGGTGTGTCTTCAAGAGCCGGTGGAATGCCAATATTGATGGGGGTTGGCATT